TGATGAGTTTGGAGTAAAGAACTTCATAAGAACTAAAATATAGCTTCCTTCTCTCTAACATTCCCATATGTATTATTCAGTTGTTGTCTTGTAGTCTACTGGTCCTTTTCATTAAACAAGGTTGGGGGTGGGCCAAAAAAACCTATCCCAAACAGCTGGGAAGTTTTAGTCTTCAGCACGTGTTGTTTATGACAAAATGGTTCTTCCAGTTTGCTCTTAACATGAAAGGTCTTCTGTAAATCTTCATTTTGACCAAACATAATTTATTTGGATCACTCACTGCTGTTACCTAGTTAAAAAAAATAATACACAAAATAATTGTCAAGACATCATCATCATTACCACATGCTAAAAAGGTATTGTGGGACCTACTTTACCCAATAATCTTCAATTTTTTTAATGACATTTTAGCTTCTTTGTTTTCAGAGACAGTTTTGAACTTACAAATGTAAGACAGTTATGAAGTAGAACCAGAGCCTTTCTAAAGCAGCATACAGACTGAGGGACAATCATATATAGTGTTGCAGAACAGCAACCTAAACCCTCATTTATATGTTTGATGTTCAGCAGTTGGAAACAAAAGTCCTGGCTTTTGGTGAGAGGACAGTTGTTGCTGATATTATGGAGCAAACACCCATAATCAGCATCAGTAAGGGACTAGTTGAATGTTTAAGACTTGGTACCATCCTGGAATTCATATATATTTCAGTTTAATAATGCCATCAAGTCAGGAAAAAAAGATTGGATAGATTTTTTTAAAGATCCTATCCTTTATTTAAACTATCACACAAATGGCTAGAGCGACAAATATGCAGGCTATAACATGATACATTATAAAGCTGGAGAACATTTTGTTTCTCCGTCCTAAACTTTACAGTCCCAACAAGAATTTGTCATACCTCACCTGTTTCATTTTTTCAGTTTACTTTTTAGCAATTTCTATACAAGTTATTTCAGTTGCTGACTTGAACAATTTGTTCAATATCTCAACCCCCCTTTTGTGTAAAGAAACAATAAAAGTTAGGAACCTGAAAATCGGATTTTTCTTTTGAGCAGCTGCTGTCCACAAATGTAAAAAGATTGTTAAAAGTGAATAGCATCACTTTCTAACAAACTGTAGGCAGGTTTGATGACTGAATCTCATCTTTCCATTACTGTGCTGTCACCAAGCATTATGATGTTTGCACTTGTAGGTATATTGAAGAAAGTTAAAAGATCTTTTGAGATTTAAAGATGTATTTGAACAGCCATAGGTGTCAACGGTCCTTCTCCATTGTTGACCTACTTATGTTGAGCTACATTTATTATTAAACAAAAAATTCTCTATTAAAACGTTGGTTATAATGCTTTGCAGAATACGTTATTTTACCTTTACAGAGCACGAGGTAAGTGGGAGTAAAGGGAAATTGCTCACAGACTTGCATAGCACAAGAACACAAGTGTTAAAAAAAAAATCCCAACGTGCTTTCAGCATAGCTGACTCCACAAGTCTTTTTAACTGTTCTCTTTGTGACCTGGTAGGGACTAGGTAGATTTCTGTTTAATTTGCTTTGAGACAATACTTACATAATAACTTATTTCTGTATTACCCATTTTGCACAGCATATTTGTTTCAGTGTGCTGACATCCCATATCAGAGGCATCTGGTCTGTTGCATCTGCTGTGCCCCCACCGGGGTGCCACTATCAATGGGGTTTTCTTCCCATAGCTGTTGTAACATCTTCTAACAGTTTCCCTTTGTTTTCTGTTGAGGACCCAGTTTTACAACACTAAATATTTGGCTGAATTTCTAAGTTTTAAAATGTATATCCATATGTGAATTGCTTTTGCTCTTTCTTTTTTTTTTTTTCTCGTTTCTTTGTTTTAGATCATTTCGGCTAATAGTCAGCTGATATTCAATTTTTTTTTTTTTAACATATTTAGCAGTCTTTTAATTTGTGTTCATCAAAGCACTTCTTTTCCTAGCATAATTATTTGTATTTTTGTTACCCACAAAATCAATTTGTATTATTAGTTTGTCCAGTCACAGAATATTTTTCTGAATTTGATAATAAGTGGAGCTCAATTGTTGCTGTTTGCTTTCATGCTACAGGATCACAGGAAGGCTCAGGCAAGATATGCTTTAGTAGCTACTTTTATCCAAGTTTACATCACGGTTTGTATGTGTATGTGAAGCGCTGGTTCAATGAGGAACATATATTTACTAAGTTTTTAAGATTGTACCAATTGATAAAATTGCACCAACAAATGTAACTATATTACAGCAATTTTAATTGATAAAATTTTACCAAATTAAATATTGTTTGAGTAAGGTTCTCAGACACTTTGTATTAAATGAAAGAAAAATGTATTAATTTGAGGATTTTTTTCCCCCTTATTTGGTTGTCTTTCTGATATTAAGAAAAACCCTGTTTGTTCTATTAACCATATATTACTGTTTCCTGAAAGGAGACAAATCAAGAATCATCAGAAGTGTTCATAGTATAAGGGTTTTGAGATGTCCTTGACCTCTCAGAAATGCACTTTAGTACATCTCGCAGAAAGTAATTTTATTCACATTAAATGGCAGAGGGAAGGTTGTCCTCACAGTCCCTATAGGGAGGATTCTTGAGTACCTGAGGAAACAGCAGAGCTAGCAAGACTCACTTTAAAGAGGCTTTGCTAGTTTTCCTGAGTGTCCAGTTCAGGAACTGCAGGTGTATATTGTGGGTAAGTCGTTCTGTAAGCACTTAGGTATACATCAGTTCCATGTGCTCATTTTCTTATTGAGCAAATCCTTATTGAGCAGTCCTTGCCTATTGCTTTTTTTTTACTAGATTTCATATAGCAGAAGCTTTCTTCTGTGTTACAAGCATGGCATTTAATGCCTGGTTGGAGGCTCAGGATGAATCAGAGAAATCATTCCCCTATTAGTATACCAAATATAAAAATTATATTTAAGAAAATCTAAGGAAAAGTTTAGAGTCACTACTGGAGTAAGACCTTAGAATCACTTAATTTTCTTTCCATCTTCTAAGCAGTTTCTAGGGAGGGGAAGGAGAGTGAGAGGGAAAAACTACTTTGGATGCCACACAATTCTCTGAGCATGTTGTACATATTTTAATGTTCCTTCTGCACAGTTCATTTTGGCAATATGTATAATACAGGTGTTGCTAGGCTGCAGAGGGACTGCTTTTTCTATTGTAAAATTCATGTCACTCACTAACTTGTCTGCCTAGAAAATGGAGTTTTGAAGGCACATAGATATCTAGAGGTAGTAACTGCATCAGTAGATTTTATGTCTTCTTCTTGAGTACTTTCACTAAGGAGAAACTTCTAATAAGAAATTTGTTCCTTGCTTAATTATGCAAGCTGCTGCTTTAACTGCATGTCTCTATATGCAATTCAATCAGTATACAAGTGAAAAAATACCATCCAAGCTTTTGGGTATGAGTTTAGAAAGCCAGTTGTAACAGATTTTCTAAGAACTTCTGATACAGAAGTTAAAGGCAAGAATTCTACAGAATGTGTATCTTGAAAATTACCTTTTATTCTGAAGAGTTTATAACTGCACAAAAATGAAACTTGGTGGAGGTTTTAACTTACTTTTAATTATGTATGCTATAGTTACTAAAAGCGATATTCTCATACTTTTTTGGTAATCTTATTGAAAAGAAAATTATGTTAGACCTTTACCTGTCACCTTCAACTTGATGAAATTATGTAACTCTAATCTCTTATTGGAGGGCCAAATTTGAGATAAGACTCTGCAGGTATTTTTCCATCCAGCGCAGTCAATGACTATCATAGAATCATAGAAACATAGAATAGTTAGGGTTTGGAAGGACCTTAAGATCATATCAGCTTGTTAAGATAAATTATGATTATTTAGAGTAAAAGCATTTTAAGGGGTGGGTAGCAGGTGGGAGGACATGATGACACATGACACAGCTGGTGGAGTTTTAAGACAATAAAATGCTCAAGACACATAGTCCACAGCCAGGTGAACATGCAAACAGATTACCTAAACACTGAACACCATCCACATAAAAAACCCTAAAAATAAAAATCCTCCAATTACTTTTATTGTCAGTGTAACAGCTGATGTACTGTATATACTGGCTATCTGACAGCATGCCATTCTGTTGGCTCAAAATTGTGGGCAGAAAAAGGAAATTTGTTTGTAATTTTGTAATAAATATTGCTACTTTCAACTCCTAAGACTGGGAAATCTAATGAGCATTTTTTCTGAAAGCTACACAATAGGAATTTGAAGTTGCGAGATTTGGTCAATGTCTTTTAAAAACATGCTTGGATGCTTCTTATCTGAGAAATCATTAAACCGATTCCTTGTTTACTCTTCCCTAATCCTTCAAAATAAACTAATATATGCATGAATCTGATATACCTTACTTTTCTCGAGTTCTCATTTTCATAATATCTAAAGCTCTTGTATCTTAGTTTTTATTACATCCCAAAGACCACGAGTCATTATTTTAAAGCCCGTCTTTTTTCCCTATGAAAAACTCTAGATCCACTTCTTACTTTCTAGTCAGATTGCCTGGGCTTTGTGTATCTGATTAACTAACATATAAATTATTGTCAATGTTAATTATGTTTCTGCTAGGTAAGGTGTCAGGACAGAAAAAGCAATGGCAACAATAGTCTTACCTGAGTTAGAAGCAACAGATAGTAATTAAATAGTCTTAACACATTAAGAAATAAACATTATTAATTAGGCTTCATGAGTTACTAGGGAAATATAGGTTAAAAAATGAAGAGTTATTGTTGGTCTATGTTCTAGTTTTACAGGTTCTTTTAAAATTACTATTGCAAGTTATATTTGGTATATTTATATGTTAAGAACAACAAGACTATTTGGAAGGTCTAGACCAAATTCTTCGTATTATTTGAAACAGTGAACAATCTCTGCTCGCACCAAGAAAGTCCCTATATATAGTCTTCTCAACAGCTCTACATGCATTTTTCTTTGTTTTATTTTTGTATTTGTGTGTAACTAGGCAATACTACAGGATCTGGAGCAAAGACGTCCCCAGCTGGATGAACTAATAACTGCAGCACAAAATCTAAAAAACAAGACGAGCAATCAGGAGGCCAGAACTATAATTACTGACCGCAGTAAGTGGTGATTCTGCTATCATATGATGCTTCAGCAAATATGGAAAATGTTGTAATACTTGATAAGCATAGCATTTTTCAGACACTTTATGACTTTGCCATCAGGAGAGTTCCATCAGGAGACACTTCACACACAGATTTTCCAAATCACATATAGAATAAATGTCAGTGAAAGTCAGTGATTATGTAGTTCACATTTTTCACCTTAATTTGGTGTTGCTTGTCTTCATAGTGGAAGCAGATTGTCAAAAAATACAGAATGTGATTGCTATAGATGAAGAAATACATTTATTCTTAATTAAAGAGGAAAAAGGGCGATTCACAGAGTATAGCTATAGGCTTGTAAGAATCTTTCAATTCCATCCCTCGTAGTGCAACTGCAGCCTCTTCTTACATCTCCCCTCAGCAGACGCTCAAGTCCGATGGTCTGCCACTAGTCTTTATTAGTTCTTCAGTTATGGTTCCCCTTTCCATAATTAACCAACAAAGTGTGTTTAAGGTGGAAAAATTAGAAGAAAAAGCTTTAGAAGAAGTTTAGAGAAGACAACAGTGTCCTGTCACCCTTCGATGCTTGTGTGTCCTTACACCCCTCACTATAGAATCAAACATTGTCAAGGTCTTGCTATTAAAGCAGCCTTCTGTTGTGGACTGTTATACATCTTCAGTTATTATTTTGGGTACTCAGGACTCAAAACTACAAAAAAAAAATCAATTTCTTATGATCCTAGAGGTCCCCTGTGGCACTTAGGCAAGAACTAAGCCAAACACAGCCAATTCACTATAGGTGGATACAAACTGCTTCTACAACTTGACCTGGATATACCTCCAGTTCTCTCCCTTAAACTGATAACTGGTTTATGCATAAGATTGATACATAGGCTAAGATTCTCTATCCCCTTAATTAAAAAAAAAACAAAAAACATATGTGTATATATATATATATATATGTATATATACACACACACATATTACCTGTTCCTTTTTATTCCATCGATTAAATAGTTTCCATAATGTATCAAAATCACATTTCATGTTTGGACTGCACTCTTGTAATAACACATACAGATATTATTTAGACTACATTTTATATGAAATTACATTATTTAACTGCTATTCTCTTCCTGTCCTTGAAGCATATTACTGAGAGAGAGAGAGAAACAGAAAGTGCATTTGTTTTATTTGAAGTTTGAGAAGAATTGGATAGTGCTTACATATTACATAAGAATATGTTTCTGTTTGACATGCAATTGATTTTAGAATCACATAATCCATTGAATTCAGAAGTGCATACATACACCTTAACATTATAACCCTTATTCATAGCCAACATATGTATTTTCTAGTATATTTCAATTTTTAATTCTAAGACAAGTCTTCCGATGATAAGAGTTGTAGACTTCACATGAAATGCAAGCCTAATTCCTACATATCCTCATGTGAATTGCATGCATGACTAAATTTTGTTCTGTAGGAAAACTGCAATTCACTTTAAGTGAAATTGCCTTCTACAAGATTAAATGCTGGTTTTCGTACTGAAAAAAAAAAAGGAAAGCAGGCTATCAGACTGTAAATTATGAATGAGTATGCAGTAACCCAATTATATGATAGCTTGCATCTGTGGCTAGAGGTGTGGTGGCTATATTTTAATGATGATTTCTTAGTTTTAATTTATAAGAATTCCAAAAATTATTAGTTGAGTTTGAACTCAAAGTATGCAAGATTAATTTTTGCTCTAACAATAAATTTTCTATGCTGAATCTGTCAATATCTTTGTCAGCAAAAGTACCACTAAGGATGCAGTCCTTTTGTGTCCTTTCAAGTACATCTTGCTGTAGTATAGTATCTTCTGGTATCATCCTGTTGTTAATGAAATAATTTTAAAGTCAACAAAATATTTCTTGTCAGAAGTACACAGGGTCAGTGTTTCTGTAGTAGGGGGAGATAAAGAATGCTTAGGGCCCTTTTTGATCCAGTCTTCTCTGGTAGCAAAATAGATTCATGAAGGTTTTTTCATGCTTAGTTTATAGTTGTACAATTGTAGGTAGTACTAAACACTATTCAAGAGGTATTTATTACTTACGAATTTTAAGGAGATATGACACTTCCAGGGAAAAAAAATGGTAGGACTTTACAATAAGACATAAAAGTTTTTTTCCAAATAAAAGCGAAATGTGATGTACTGTCACCTAAAGTACTTATTGTTCTTTAAAAGAACAATAGTAATTTTAATATTTTTAATTTCATGCTTTTTTCCCCTGCATGTTGTGTGAAGAAAAAGGAGATCACTATGGTTTGAATTAGACCTGCTAAATACCTGTATAGACAGGATCCATTTGTTCTTGCTGCATTTACCCTTCACAGTGCTATGCTGTCCTGAATATAGGAGCATTTCTTATGGTCAGCATAGCTGGGGTTCTCAAACTGTGTGCTCTCTAACAAAGCGCTTCTGATGCCTGTTGTGCTTCACAGTGTTCTCACCTAGTGCAGTAGTTTTGCTTTGCAGTCCAGCACATACTGCACACATTGTGTTGTCCCCAAGTCCATCCCTTGAAATCTTGCTCACAACAAGAGCTGAACCCTGGACCAGATAACTTTCAGTTGCTAAGACCTGTGTGTTCCCCACAGCTCTAGAGACCATCCTCTCCTTTATACTTGGACCTTGCGCCAAAGTCCTGCTGCAAGTCCTCCCTGACTGCCTCACCCACAGACTATTTCCCATTTCCTGTGGGATTTTTTCCCTCTTCATGAATACAAATAGGTTACCATGGCTATGTCTTAGTTGTGGGTACTCTATTCAGTCTACTCAATTTCATGACTTGAGCATAAGCACTGTGCCACTTGTGCTCCTCTGCAGCAGCTGTGTACCTCTCTCACACTCAGCCTTCTGTAATGTCACACTGTCAGGTGCCAAAGCCACTCATTGTATTCCATCAGGAAGGAGAGGAAGTGCAAGGCTGGTCTGGCTAGTAAAAAAAAACCCTACACAGTCATCTGGCCAATATCACAGGACAGATATATTATAAATACTAAGTAAGACTTGTAGCTACTCTATAAGATAGCTGCTATTCTGGCTCAAAGGCTGGGTTAATGTGCCATCAGCTGGAATTAAAATCCTGAAGGTTATGCCTTCTGTGCTAATATTCAAGTAATTCTGCTTGCAGAAATATGTATATTATGCCCGGTAAAGTCAAACTTTGAACTATATTTAGAAACCATTACTGCCTTTTTAAAGTATTTGTATATAAGAAAAGGTAAATATTTTATACAGAATCAAGCAAATCAAAAGACATTTGTTAGAGGACCTTTATGAAGAACTGCAGAAAAGTAAATAAAGTCAAACACGTAGGTTTAGTCTTCCTTTGGGAAATTAAAAAAAGAAAGGAAACTAAAGATAAGCTTATACAATTGAATTATTTTGTCTGAACTTTTTCCCCTTATCCTTCATTATCTGTATGAAATTGCTGAAGCTTTGCAACATAAAAAGAACTTGGCTCTATAACGTAAAGCTTATGTTATGTTTACATAGCATTATATTTGAATCTCTGTTTATGTAAATCATAGTTTCTTTGCAACTTATACGTTAGAGAATACATAATAATAATAATTACATTTATTCTTGAGTAAAAGTTGTGGGAAAAACAAGATATCTTTCTGCTTTTTTAATGTCCTTGATAAAACATTCTATTCTAACAAAACCATCTGCTCTAAAATAATGTTTTTCTCTACATAATGCATCACAGCTCCAAAACACGTTGTTTTACTGCTGATGAAAATGTTATTTCTTTAAATTGAATGAGTTTATAAGCAACTTTAAATATGATAAAGTAATTAAACTTTGAAAATTCCTTTTATTATCCATCAGTTGCTATGTATAAAATGCATAAACCAAGTAACAACTCAATATAGAAATATACTGAGAGATAATAAAAACAAAATTACAGTCTTAGAATCAGAAATACTGACGTAATTATAAAGGCTGTATTAGATCTTGCTAGATCCTGGAAATGTAAGAAATTTAAATAGGAGGCCTTCCTACTGCTGTGTTGATACGCATGCAAAAGGTAATGGTGAATAACCTTTCTGCTGTTTTACTTTGCTAGCAATTTACATCCCAATTTTGTAATGTGGTTTCTGGCTGTGAAAGCAATAGATGAGGTATGAAAATTAATATTTGTAGAACTGTGAAGAAATAATATGTTACTGACCAAAGAATCTCTCTTTCAAGTTGATAAGAAGCCAAAGTAACATACATCTTTCTTCAGCAAGAGTGTGAAATGTAGTGAACTCTCAAAATATCAAGAGGTTAATTACATTCTATTATCTTAAATACATAAATAATAGCCATAAATACAAGCATTTAAATGAAGAATATTTTGATCAAGAATTACACATTGGGACCAAAAGATTTGTTTTGAAATTTTACTTGACAGTATTTAAAACCAAGTCCATAAATGTATGAATAATTTATAGAGGATGCCTTCAGAAGAGTTACTTTGGTTTGGGGATTTTTGTTTATTTTTTAAAAAAAGAAAAGCTATTTGTTATAATTGGTTGTAAGGAAAACTGCATTTAAACTAATCTGAAAATAATCTGAGTGTCTCTGTGGCACCTCATAAAATAGCCTTTATCAAATAGGTTGCTGTATTTGACAGTTTTATTGCAAAATCTTCAACTCGTCATCAATTTCACTGCAAAATGTATGGAAACTCAACAGTGAATTACAGCTATACTGTTGTTCTTGTCATCTTAATAAAGCAGTCATCTCCCTGCTACTACCACCCATGCGGTTTTCTCTTAGAGCTATTGAATACAGATAAAGGGTTTACCACTTGAAAAAAAAAGAAAATAAATATGATCTGGAATTTGTCATCCAGTAGTAAAACTTGTAGTTTCCAAGACTATGAAGGAAAAATGGAAGAGAAAACTGTACTTGTATACAGTTTGCCCAGTTACTTGTTGATATTTTTAAGCTGAATTATTGAATAAACCCCAGTGTTCTA